CCAGACAAGGCCGGGTCCCCAGCGAGAGGTGCCGAGGGCCAGGGCTTTTCCCGGTGGGTGCTAGGAAGCCACGGGAGGGCTGTGAGCAGGGGAGGGGTGAGGAGGTGGAGCAAGACCCCTCTGAGGCCACATGGGGGACCCACAGGAGGCCTGAGACCAGAGGTCAGGGCCATGGACCAGGTAAGGAAGGATGAGGCTGGAGCAGGGCAGGAGGGACAGGCTATGGCGATGGGGGTGGGGGTGGGGCCTGTGGGAAAGAGCAGAGGGGGATGGGGCAGTGAGCGAGGGGCAGGACTGGGGACTTCTCAGATGTCGTGGTGCCCGAGGGTCCGGCCTGGTGGCTGGGTGGCTGAGGGACTGTCCCGGAGATAGGGAATCTAGGACAAGGAGGGAGCTCAGTGGGCGGGGAGGGGGGAGGGCTCGTAGGAGGCCTGGAGGGTGGCCAGGGGGAAGGGAGGACCCTGAGGCTCCGGGAACCTGTGGGAGCTGCCAAATGAGCGGTGGAGGATGAGAAGCAACAGAGCCAAGGACAGGACACCAAGGGGTGCTCGCAAGGAAGGGCGTCGGGGAGAAAAGACAAGCAGGGGGGCCGCGAGGAGGACCCCGGAAGGAAGCAGCAGGAGAAAATGTGCACTGGGTTCATGCAGATTGAGGGTCCCCGGTGACCCCTTGGCAGTGGGCGTCAGACGCCCTCAGGCCTCAGCCCCAATCCACCCGTCCCTGTGTCGCTCAGGCCGCAATCCTGCCAGTGCGGCCCCCAAGCCCCAGGCCCCCTGTCCCTCCCAGATCTGGTCCTGTTCCTTCTCCGCCCTCACTTGTCACCCTCTCCTGCTTGCTCTGGCCACAGGCCTCCTTCCTGATCCCTGACACGCCTAGCCTGGAATGTTCTCTCCCTCGAAAGTCACATGACTCCACTGCGTTCAGTTCTCTGTTCCAGTGTCACTGCCAGGAGCTTCCCCGACGTTCTCCCTTCCCCCAAAATATCACCCCGTAGGCCGCCTGGATCCTCTTTCCCGAATTTATTTTTCTCCACGGCCGTCCACCCTCCCCCTGCCTCACACCGATGGCTTTTCGTATTGCTTTGTATTGTATTACGTAACATTGTTATCTGACCGCCTCCCCCGCCTCCGGCTGGACTCTGAGCTCCCACGAGGACACATGTTTCTGTCTGTTCTGTTCACAGCTGGGACTGCAGTTGTGGCACATAGTAGGTGCTCAATAAGCACCTGCAGCAAGAGGCTGAGGAAGCTGGATGGGAGTGGATGAACGGAAGAGGAGAGAAGACGGCACCGCAGCCTCTCTCTAGAACAGCGGTTCTCAACCTTTCTAATGCTGCAACTCTTTAAGCCGCAGCCTCTTTCTAGAACTCTCACTGGGTACACGACAGAGGAGAGAGCATCCACTTCCAGATCATAGAGGGTGGCTGGTTGCGGACAAGCAGGAGGGTTGGTGTTGAGGCCTCCTGAGCTGGGCAAAGCCTTCAGGGTACCCAGTCCTTCCCCTGGAGGGAGTCCCCGTTGAATGGGGCGAGGGGGGCTGGACCCAGAGATGGATACCGACCCCCGGAAGGGGAACTGTTCCCCCTGCGGGCACAGAGTTCAGTGCCCATTTCCCAGGCTCCAAAAATTCAGGGCTGCCCATGTATGTTCAGAGCAGCGCGACCCCTATGAAAGGGTTGTTCCACTCCCAAAGGTGTTGCGACCCACAGGTTGAGAACCACTATTCTAGAACTTTCACTGGGTACAAGAGAGAGGAGAGAGCATCCGCTTCCAGATCATAGAGGGTGGCTGGTCGCGGACAAGCAGGAGGGTTGGTGTTGAGGCCTCCTGAGCTGGGCAAAGCCTTCAGGGTACCCAGTCCTTCCCCTGGAGGGAGTCCCCGTTGAATGGGGCGAGGGGGGCTGGACCCAGAGATGGATACCGACCCCCGGAAGGGGAACTGTTCCCCCTGCGGGCACAGAATTCAGTGCCCATTTCCCAGGCTCCGAAAATTCAGGGCTGCCCATGTATTTTCAGAGCAGCATCCATCCAACAGTGGAAACAACCCAACCAGTTGGTACTTGGGACAAATAAAGCGTGGTCGGTCCAGACAATGGAATACTATTCAGCCAGAAAAAAGGGATGAAGCACCATTACATGGGTGAACCTCACACATATTATGCTAAATGACAGAAGCCAGACACAAAAGGCCATGAATCGTATGACTCCACTTATCAGAAATGTCCAGAATACGCAAACCTATGGTGATAGGACATTAGGGCTGGAGGGGGGGAAGGGGAGTGACAGCCACAGGGTGCAGGGTTCTCCTCTTTGATGATGTAAATGTTCTAACACTGATTACCCAGATGAAAAACTCTATGACCGTGCAGAAGCCAGTGAATTACATGTTTTTAAATAGGTGAGCCTGATGGTATGTGACTTAGTTGTTTTTTTCTCAAACAAGTTTATGCATCTGAGGGCCAGGGAAGAAAAGACCTGCAAATCGAGGCCTTTGGGAAACCGCCTCCCTTGCTATACCTTCCAGTCCCAGCTTTAAATGCATCTACCCGGCTCAATTCATCACAGCTGGACTCCCTTGCAGCTAGCTGTGGCCATGTGACTGGCTCTGGCCAATGGGCTATGAGAAACAGGATGTGGGCCACGCCCACTCACATCTGTCACTTAACAGTGAAGCCATTCTCCACTCCTACTGACAGGGCTGCTGGGCCCAGCCAGTGCGGTTCAACGGTTGAGCATCGACCTATGAACCCGGAGGCCACAGTTCAATGACCGGGCAGGGCATATGTCCGGGTTGCAGGCTGGATCCCCAGTGTGGGGCGTGCAGGAGGCAGCCCATCAATGATCCTCTCTCATCATTGGTGTTTCTATCTCTCTCTCCCTCTCTGAAATCAATAAAAAAAATAATAATTTTTTTTTAAAGGCAGCATGCTGGGGGACAGCAGAACAGCAAAAGGAGAGAAAAGTGGGGGACCCTAGACAACCTGGAGAAGAGCCCCTGATTCTCCAGGACCCTCCCACCTCTATCAGGGCTCTGATGGAAAGACAATTCCAGCTCTCATTTGAGTAGCTGTATGTTTAGTCTCTTGTAGAACAGCTACCCTGCCCCTGGCCAGGGAGCTCAGTTTGTTAGAGCATCGTCCCCATAGGCCGCGGTTGCAAGTTCGATCCCCAGTCAGGGCACGTGCAAGAAGCAACCAATGAATGCATAAATAAGTGGAACAGCCCTAACCGGATTGGCTCAGTGGATAGAGCGTCAGCCTGCGGACTGAAGGGTCCCAGGTTCAATTCCAGTCAAGGGCATGTACCTTGGTTGCAGGCACATCCCCAGTAGGGGGTGTGCAGGAGGCAGCTGATTGATGTTTCTAACTATCCCTCTCTCTCCCTTCCTCTCTGTAAAAAATCAATAAATCCCTGAGAATGTGCGACCTTGAGCAAGTCAGTCACCGCCCAGTGCCTCAGTTTCCTCATCTTGACAACCAAGGATAACTAGTTTAGGTCAGCGATGGCAAACCTATGACACGCGAACATGTCAGAGGTGACATGTGAACTCATTTTTTTGGTTGCTTTTTCTTTGTTAAATGTCATTGAAATATATAAAATAAATATCAAAAATATAAATTTATGTTTTACTATGGTTGCAAATA